TTAATTATACAAAAGTTATTTAAAATTCTGATTTTATCATATTTGTGATTTTAATATGATTTAATTTTTTTATTTAAAAAATATTATATAATTAATGCCTCTAAATTAAGGGTACTTAGCTTTCATTTAAAGAGTTAATTTTTTTTATTTAAAGCAATTTAAAAAAAATACGATTTTCGTGAAAATCAGATGTAATTTACAATTATTTTTTCCCGAAGTTACAATTTTTGTCAAAATCACATGTGATTCACAACTAATCATGTTATATGTAAACTTTATTGATTACAACTCCATCTAACTCTTAGACAGTTGGGTGAATAGCTTACTGTTCAAATTAAATATCTGAATATTCACAGTCGATGTATCTGAGTTCCTAATCCTATCAGGTTCAGCTTGTTATTTTTGACGCCAGATAGCGTGTGTGAATTTGATTATCACCTTAATATCATTGATATTTAAGAAAATACTCAATTTTAGCATGGGTTATTATCAATGATCGAAGTTTTGACTATTACATATCGAAAGAGATCTCAAACCAAAGATTTAAGTGACGGGTTTTGATTTGATGTCACCATATTGTTTTAGTGACGGGTCATCTACTCGATTCATAATCAATTAATCCAAATCCAAACTGAAGGGAGTTATTTATATTGCTTATATCTGTATCTTTCTTAGGTATTTCACTTTCGAGATAAAACCAGTTGTCATCTCGCTTTGTTGTATTAAGAGCATCTCCAACATGTAATTTTAAGTCGAGATTTTTGATATTATTTTATTCCAACAAATATTCTAAAACACTGAAAATGAGAGACATGAGCTACAAGTATTATAATTAAAACCGAGAATTGTGATCATTTTTTTGCGTTTTTGTAAGGTGGTATGTAAATCTTTCAACCAAGACACTTATATATAGAGTTTAGAGGGCAAAAAAGACAAAAAAACAGGTCATAAACGGTCATATAACGACTATGTTTTACAAAAAAAGGGCTGGTTTTTTAAAAACCGGGCTGGACCCATAACTGGCCCCGGTCCTGGTCAGGCCGGTCCCTCAAAACCCTCCAAAACCATAACCGGTCCTGAGCCGGGCTGGTTTGGCCATCACTAATTAGGATAAAAGGCTACATAAGTAATACAACTAGGATACCAGTTGTAGACCCCTATAATAAAACATGATGTAACGATTTATTGTTAATCAAAAAATTTGGAACATTTTATTAATAAATTTTGAAATTTATGTTTAAACAAAATATAAATTATAAATTATGGTTGGATATGTATAGTTAGACATTGTTTGACAACCATATAAGCTAACTTATTTTTTGAATAATTGTTTGAATGTATATAAGCTATTTATAAGCTAACTTATTGATAAGCTACTTGGAGTAGCTTATGTTAAGTTTTTTGTATTTTTTTCAATTATAACTCTGGTTAATATTAATTATAAATTAAAAATAAATATTAATTAATAAAAATTGTTAATTATC